GGAACTCGCTATGCATGGGTTTCCAGTCCGGGTCGGATCTCAGTTGTCCTCTCTGTTCTGCTCCGTCGGCCATTGAATTTCTTCGCTGGCCCGTGTTGCTGCACGGATACAGTCCCGCATGGCCCATCGACAAGAAGTCGTCACTTTGCCACGCCGTCGTTTGGCACCTTCCCGAGCATGTGGTGGAGATCAAAACACGCCAGCCAGTAGGAGGCCTTTTCTTGCATGGCTGTCTGTCGCAGTCGCCGTGGATGTCTGTCGTTTTCGTCGGTGCGCACCTGTATCGGACATCAACGTGAGTTGTCATGTGATGTGACGTCCCAATGTCCGCTGTCCATCCCGCCTCCTCGATGCTTCCCCAGCAGGGGAAGTCGAACACTGCTGACTTCTCGAGTTTAACAGTGGTGACCGCGGGTCGGCTGCAAAGGGGCGAACCTCGCCATCGCTCTCGTCTTTCATGCTTTTCATAACGCTCAGGGTTCCTTGCCGCGTGGCGCAATCGACGTACATATCTGCTGCTGAGAATCAAAACAGGCCTGTTCGGTTTGCCCGTGGTTTTTCTCCTAGCATAGGCCAGCCACTCTCGCTGACGACCTGCCTTGCGCACTTGTTTCGCTTTTGCTGATGAAGGCACCGCCGGCAAGCGGCACCCTGCGAGCTTGTGCATCCCTGTCCGTGCTCGGGTGTTGGTGGAGGTGTGCCTGGCCCGAAGTATCCCTGGCCGAGGGCATGCTTCTGTACATGGGGTGAGCGGTACTGTTTGAAGGCTCTGGGGACCTCCCCGGTGGCCTTGGGGACACTTGCGCGCCAGTCGTTGAAAGTAGGTATCTCTGGACTCCCAGATTCCGATCTACTTCAAGCGCCCTCCTACTTCAAAAATCGATCTGCTTTTTCTGTGTGTTGTTATTCTCCAGGAGGGCCTGATCCCAATCTATTTCAGCCGCCTTCCTCCTTCCTGTCTTCACCCATTTCTTCCGACCGACGTATATGGCTGGGGGCTTTGCTGTAAGTACCTGACAAGCGGGGACGGCGGATTCCGTCCCAGACGCAGGGCTTGCAGGCTAACATCGAGCGCTATCGGAACAGCCCCGTGATGAGCGACGTGGTTCCCGAAAGGTTCAAGCCAGCCCTGTTCGTCGACGGGACGCAGGTTGGGGGATCGGAGGAAATAGCCAAGCCAGACCGGCATTTTTCTGTGAATGGTCATTCTCATCATCCTCTCCCGCCTTCTTCTTCCCCCCTCTCCTTTTCCTCTCCTTCCTCCTCGAAGTCTTAACCCTCAAAGGGGCATGGCCTTGGCCCTGATCAGGCTCAGCTCCCTCTGCCCGTCCTCTTTGTTCTGACGTTCGGCAAACTTCAGGAGCACTTCCTGGAGCGTATCTCCTCCTCCTCCTCCTCCTCCTCCTCCTCCTCCTCTTCCTCTTCCGAGCTTGGCTAGAGCTCCTCCTGCCCTGGAGGTCCCGTTCCCTGAGCCTACCAAGGATCTGCCCCCGATCCAGAAGAGAGTCCACAAGCCGTATATGCCTTGAGTAGTTTTGGCATGCCGTTGTGGCCGCGGCTGCCTCGGCAGGGAGGGCGCAGACGCGGCTGCGCCAGCGCGGCCGCGGCCGCGCCTGACCGGCCCACTTCGTCGAAGAAAAGAAGAAGCGTGCTATGCTGACCGACATGAGGCCACGCGGTGCGCGAGTGCGTAGCACTGCAGCCGTCGACATTTTTTTTGCCAGCATCTCCCAACCCGCTTCAAGCCAGCCAGCACAGCTTTTCATGTCCAAGCGCTTATTGTTTTGCTTTGGGAATGAGCTGACGTGCCTTCTTAGTCCTGGGTGCTGATGCAGCTCCCTCACTCCTCTCCCTCCCTCCTCGTTGAATTTCTCTTCTTATCAAAGCTCCCGCGCGGGTGGTGAAGCTGCGACCGTCGCCTCTGCAGTTGCTGTCGCTACTTCTTGGACGGCCCCGGGAAGAAACCCCAAATGGTTTCGAAACAGGCCCAAGACGGCCCAAAGCGGGTTTCGCCCGACTCACGCGAGAAGCCAGGAATCCTAAGCTCAAGATCAGGAGCGCATGCAGAGGCCATTGACGCAGAACACAGCTCAGCCAACAACAAGAACGAACCACCCAAACGCAAAGGACAGGAACAAGCGTGGCTTCCACCAAAAATGCTGGTACTCTCCCGCCAGTGGTACTCGTGGCCCTGAGACGTCTCGGACCACGAGGCGATAGAAGAGACTCGGGTGTCATTGGCAGGTGGGTGTTGCACATATTCGAAACCTGTAGTGGTCGAGAAGAGGGTGCTTGCCGGGAATGCATCGTGCAGACTCGTGCGGATCTAAATCAGGAGAAATGAAGTTTGAGCACTTCCAAGGATAGCGGAAGATACGTGCAAGGTGAATCTCAGGCTATATATAGTCGTGCAAGAAGGGACAGTCGTGGACGATGGCTTGGTTAACGCCATGAGTGCACGGGTCCAGATCTGACCAGTGATGTGAGTGAGGGAGCGGCGCATTGATGCAATTCCATGTGACGCCGGAAAATAGTTTCACGACTGCCGGCGAACACCACCATCAATACCTATACGACCACCCTTCGGGTGATAAGGAGGTTGTGTGGGGGGGAGAGGTGGGGGAACCATCATCTGACTCACTCGATCTCACTATCGATCTCACTCAACGGGACACCACGGGACACCACGTGACGCTTGTCGATCTCACTCTCGATCTCACTCAACGGGACACCACGGGCCACCACGGGCCACCACGGGACACTGCGGGACACCTCTCGATCTCACCATAGGTCTCACTATCGATCTCACTATCGATCTCACTCAACGGGACACCATAGGACACCACCAAAGGGGACCGAACTAGAACCAACCGGCGCGACCGGCGCGACCGGCGCGACCGGCACCGGCGCGACCAGCGCGATTGCGACCGGCGCGACCGGCGCGACCGGCGCAACCGGCGCGACCGGCACCGGCGCGACCGGCGCGACCGGCGCGACCGGCACCGGCGACCGGCGCGACCGGCGCGACCGGCGCGACCGGCGCACCCGGCGCGACCGGCGCGACCGGCGCGACCGGCACAACCGGCTCGACCGGCGCGACCGGCACCGGCGCGACCGGCGCGACCGGCACGATCAGCACGACCGGCGCGACCGGCGCGACCGGCGCGCCCGGCGCGCCCGGTTGGGGGCCTCCGGGGGGCCTCTTGGGGCCATCTTGGGGCCTCTTGGTGCCTCCTGGGCGCTTCGGGGGGCCATCTTGGAGGGCATGGATCCAAGAAGAGGGGAGCTTTAATGAGCGCTGCTCCCTCGGAAGGGCAAAATGAGCCCAAAACCTTAGTAAAATCAATAATATTGCCTTGACGGGAGGGGGGAGCTTGCATGAGCGCTGCCCCCTCAGAAGGGCCAAATGGAGCCAAAACCGTAGTAAAATCAATGTTTTTGGCTTCAAGGAAGAGGAGGGTACCTTATCTCCGTCCCCCCGTCGGGGCCAGAATCCTCGTGAGGGGTGTCGTTTTTTAGCCCTCCGAGGAGTCGAAAAAGACCCCCCCGGCGACCCGCGGAACACCCCCTCCAGGCCCAGGGGGAGGGGGTAGGGGGAGGGGTAAACCCCTCCCCGAAGGGGAAGAAGGGGGGTTGAGGACAGAGAGAGCTCGCTGAACCACTCACGCCCAAAGGGCTGGTGGGATTTGAGGATGTCTCGAGCGAAACGCTTGTTTTTCAGAATTTGTTGAGGATGTCTCGAGCGAAACGCTTGTTTTGTGTTATAGATTGTCCTCTCCTGGGGGCCTGAATTCTGAGGATCTCTCAAGTGGATTCGTGCCCTGGTCTTGAGGATGCCTCGAGCGAGACGCTTGGTTTCACGCCTCCAGGTGGCCCAGACAGATGTCTAGCATGAGGATTTGTTGAGGATGTCTCGAACCAGAGGCTTGTTTTCACGTGTCCAGGTCGCCCAGGCGGATGTCTAACATGAGCATTTGTTGAGGATGTCTCGAGCGAGACGCTTTGTTTGCACGTGTCCAGGTTGCCCAAGCGGATGTCTAGCATGAGGATGTGCTGACAACGTCTTGAGCGAAACGCGTGTTTTCACGTGTCCAGGTCGCCCAGGCACAGCACAGCCCTCGGCACGGTACATCAATATCGATACCTTTAGCATTGCAGCCTGGCATGTTGCTTGGCACGTTCCGCGGAGCGTCCCGTGGCGAGTCCCCCTGGCACGTCGCGCGGTGCACGTCCATTGGCACGTTCCGTAGCGCGTCCCCTTGGCACGTCCCACGGTGCGTGCCCATGGCACGTCCCCTGGCACGTCCCCTGGCGCGTCCCTTGGGACGTTCCGCGGCGCGTCCTCTTGGCATGTTCCCTCTGTCGATTAGTTCTGGGGCAGCTACCATCTGCTCAGGCAGCTCGAGCTTACGATCCAGATCAGTTCGGTGAGGACTCGGATGCCAGGGAGGACTCGATCCACAACGCTATATCTATATCTATAGAGAGAGAGAGAGAGAGAGAGAGAGAGAGCACAATCGCGGCATGACGCATCGCAGTTCAGCACGGCCCAGCACAGCACAGCCGTCGGCACGGTACATCAATATCGATACACTCAACTATACACTTTGGCACGAGAGAGAGAGAGAGCACAATCGCGGCATGACGCATCGCAGTTCAGCACGGCCCAGCACAGCACAGCCGTCGGCACGGTACATCAATATCGATACACTCAACTATACACTTTGGCACGTTCCTTGGCGCGTTCCGTGGCGAGTCCACCTGGCACGTCGCGCGGCGCGTCCCATGGCACGTCCCTCGGCACGTCCATTGGCACGTTCCGTAGCGCGTCCCCTTGGCACGTCCCACGGTGCGTCCCCATGGCACGTCCCCTGGCACGTCGCCTGGCGCGTCCCTTGGGACGTTCCGCGGCGCGTCCTCTTGGCATGTTCCCTCTGTCGATTAATTCTGGGGCAGCTACCATCCTGAGCAGCTCGAGCTTACGCTCCAGATCAGTTCGGTGAGGACTCGGATGCCAGGGAGGACTCGATCCACAACGCTATATAGAAAACAATCGCGGCATGGCACATCGCAGTTCAGCACGGCGTAGCACAGCACAGCCCTCGGCACAGTACATCATCATCGATACATTTAGCATTGCATGTGCCCGTCGCCCAATCAGGTGTCTTTGAAATGTTACAATGCCTTACATTTCTATATTCCTTTCCGGGTTCGTGGGTCGATCATGTTCTACTGCGCTGTCCCAGCGCGTTGGGCTGCCACGAGGCAGATCCTGCAGGACCAAGATTCAGCTGCGCGTGAGAGCGACCCTTCGCCAAATTGACCTTTGGTGCGGGCCCACCAGGGCTCCCTCAGGCACTGGCCCACGCGCTTGGATCTGGCCCCCTCCCTCCCCCGCAGCCCCCCCCCCAAGCTGCACACCAAAGGTCACCCCTACCTGCAGGGCCACGCCCTCCGTGCCACCGAGAGCTCATGGCAGCGTCTCCTTTCCCGATCCGCCCCAGGTTCTCCAGACACACATACCGCTACCCTTGCCTCGTTTGCGCCTCGTTGGGCCTCCTGGGAGGCCCTCGTCGCCACCGCTGGATTCGCCTCGGGAGTCTGGTCAGAAGGCACCCCAGGAGAGGGCCATGAAGCATCGGTATCGATACCGTCTGGTGCCTCAAATATCTTGCATGCCTCGCCCTGATGAGATTGGTAAGAGCGGTTTTCACAATCGTTGGCCACGATATGTTGGGGGGTCACGGCATTGTTGTGAGGTGTACGTTGATTTACCTCTCTCCTTCTTGTTCTATCTTCGAGTCGGCGACTACGAGGCGTCGGCGACTACGAGGCGTAGCTCGCGACGCACACATTCGAGATCCGATGTCAAAAAGGTTGCTCCTAATGTGGTTTCCTCGCTCTCGGCCCTCCTTTCCCCCTCCTCCATTCCTGCCCCCGCGGCCTCTCGCGTTTAATTTTGACGAGGGCCGGCAGAAGTCTCCACGGGCATGCTCCCGCAGAAAGGCACTCGGGATTACACGCACGCCCGAGCTGCTCAAGCATGTCGTTTTCCCCGCCGCTGCGTTCGCAGAAAGGCACCCGGGGTTGCACGCACACCCGAGCTGCTGACGCAGTTTTTCTGTTTACTCGACGCTTCCGCGCGACATTCGAGATCCGATGTCAAAAAGGTTGCTCCTGATGTGGTATCCTCGCTCTCGGCCCTCCTTTCCCCCTCCTCCATTCCTGCCCCCGCGGCCTCTCGTGTTCTTCATTTTGACTAAGGCCGGCAGGAGTCTGCCCGGGCATCCCCCCCGCAGAAAGGCACGACATCACGACATCACGTCCTCATGACACCTCCCATGGGGCACCTACATGGCAAGTGCGATCTCTGTGATGGTGTCGCAACCGACCTCACTTACACACTACGCCACGCCGCACCGCACCGCACCGCACCGCACCACACCGCACCGCACACACACACGCACACACACACACACCACAACACACCACACCACACCACACACACGCACACACCACACCACACACC